TAGGATGATGGTGGTGGCAACAACTCTATTTTAGACATCAAGAAATACAGTATGACCCTGTCTATATATGAGTTAACCTAAAAAACAATGAGTGATAAGAACTGAATATTGAAAGAACAGTTTTGAAACAAACTAAAAACAGTAAAACATGAAGGTCAAATTTTATTCACAAATCCACAGTTTTTCCTGAGTAAAAATTTAGAAAGAGTTTAACAAATAATTGCGCCCTCCAGTGGTTGTTTTTGTGTGAATTATTGTAATTATCATTATTACTTTTATTTTTAATTTTATCTGGGCTCTCAGCTTCCCAGCTTTCCTGTTTTGAGTAACCCCAGCAAGGTTCTTATTGTCTATACCTAGGAGGAGCCTTGGGAGGCCAGATCAATTTTGATTGCCCAATTTTATGCTTGCAGAAAGAATGAGGCCAGCGATGATAGAATGCCTAGTAGATGATGATTAAGTTCAGGCTCAATAAGATAGATTCATAAAAGGGCAATCATGCTTGATTTGTCTGATTGCCAGAGTAGAAATGAAAGAAAAGTGGTGACATAATTACCCTAGATTCTTCAGACCTCAAATAAGGTCCTGCGCAGTCATTAAGCAGAGTTGGTCCCCAGAATGATTGCAATGTGTTTTAAAGAGGAAGATCACTGCTTTATCAAATAAAAGCAAAATCAATTTTAGCAAAATCAAAGACAAAAGATTTTTCTGGAATCTGTTCTGCTGGCAAACAGAATGAGAGAGAGAGAAGGGAAAGAAAGTCACTTGGTGAGAGAAGACAAGCAGAGGACGGAGTCAGAAAATCCTGCCAGTGCCTCCGTTTTGTGGCCTTGATCAGACTCCTTTAGGCGTTCTCACCTACAAAACAAAGGTGTGGACTGGGATAAGTGGTTTCCATGAAACCAGTATAGAGACAGAGGCCAGGAGTAGCAGGACCAATCTTATACAAAAGAACCATAATTTGAATATTTATGAAAGCAAAATTAGCTAGGGATCAAAAAATGGGGAAGAGAGGTGTCTGATAGGGGAATGCAAATTCATTTTAATGGATTCACACAATACCTACGTATAAAAATTGGTAGAGACTATTCATTTCAAAAGAGAAAAAAAGAAAGCAATATCATTCTGTCTCCACATGTCCTCCCACTGGAGACTCCTCCTCTGTCATCATCTTATTTTTGCTCCTACCTTTCTGTTTACCAGCTAACCATGGTGATGGCTGCCCTCCAGCAACCTTCCTAACGAGCTGGGGCCCTTTGGGTACACATTAAACTTTTGCTCCATTCACTGGTGCAGTGGGTGCTAACAACGCTGTAAATTATTCTATTTAATTGATGTTTTTCTCCTTCTCGTTTCTCCTCTGGGAAAGCAAATGTCAGGGATCATATGCAGCATTTAACCTCTCTACAGCAAGGGTGCACTGTAAAACACGGGATATTCAACTGTTATTGCTCAGTTGCTCAACATGAGAAGAGGATACTGATTATGGCAGAGATTGAATTCTCTGGCCTGAGGCTCAGGAGCTTGTAAAATCCCAATACTCATAGCTGGTCACCAGCCCTCCTTTTGCTTTTGTAGTAAACCGGAATAAAATAGATTGCCCAACAGACTCACAATCCGCACCCTGGTTTCCTATATCCTTGCTTTGTTCTTGATGCTTTGTCTCATGTGTACAGGAAAACATTGCCAAGGCGTTTAATGTTATCATAGTTACGAGGGGGATTGAATTTTCGCCTAGGAAAATACACAGTAAATTAGGCGATTGCTCCTAATGAACACATTCATTTTTCTTTGTGGAATATAAAATAAGGCACGTATGCAGTAGTTTCTAAAGTATGTTAATTAATGCTCCCAATGACAAAACATCAAAGAATCTTTCGATGTCCTTAGCACACGAGATAATAAAAATTACCCAGTACAGACTGTCATTTTGTGCTGTCCAGTTGTGGCAGCTTAACTGTGTTGTACATCTAATATGCCTGAAAACTGTCCCTCTACTTAAGCTGTGCTGTGTGTGTGTGTGCTGATGTGTGTGTGTGTGGTCTGGCATCAACACAAAGGAGACCAGATGATGACATTCATAGGCTTATAGACTCGACTCCTGGGGGCACACTTGGATGGCGGCAATTAAAATGCCTGTCAGGCATTTGGTACCAGAAGCCCCATGGCAAACCACAAAAATCGCGTAAGCCCGGGCTGCATCCCTATGCCAGTGAATGATGGCGGAGCTGAGTGGCTTGTCATCATTCTCGAAAAATTCTTGAGGAGCGAGTGAGCTCTCGTCTCCCTCTCCCACTCGCCTTATTTTCCCTTTTCGCACTGGGGGACTTTCTAATTTGCAGCTTCCCTTTCCCCGGCACACACAGACAGGAGCTGGTGGCTTGCAGACTGCGTCTGTCTGGAGCTAGAAGAGCGAGCGAGCCCAGCACGCGGGGGAGAATGCTCCCGGAGAGGGATTCCTGCAGCAGTTCTCAAAGGCTAGATTTGGGTGGTATTGCTGCATATGCGCTGGTAATGGTTTGGGTATTTTTCTTGTAAATTTTATTTTGTTTTATTTTTAATCCATTTTTCAAAGGATCTGCGCTGTATGCGATCTCTGAGTAAAATGCTTTAAAAATTCATTATTGAGCTAAAGATTCAAGCACTGCATTGTTTTGTACAACAGATCTCAAGTCATAGATTTATTATTTGGATATAAAGAATGCTTACTGGTGAGTTACAGTTTTTGATATTTAGTTAATGAATCTATATATGTATTTTTTTTCTTTTGTTTCAGTAGACTCTTCAGCTTGTTGTCTCTAACTGAGGAAGCATTGATTGGGAACTACTCATTCAGAAAATTAAAAGGTACCGCATGTTTTATTTAGATGTTTAAATAAATGAGGAAAAATCGCAGAGAGAATTGGAATGGTTTTGGATTAAAGTACTCTCTCTACAAGGTTTGTGCTTTATCTTTAGCCTACCGTTGTTTCGATGGTCTATAGCACGTGAAACCATTTTCCTATGCAGGATAATGGGCCATTATGCTGAGCTGTTTTTTGATTTAAGAAGATGGATGGAGAATTGGTGTCATTTGCCTGTGTTGGGCAAGTTATGTAAGAAATATCAAACCCATGTCTGGGGCGTTATTTTTGGGAAGTTTCATATTCATTGATATATCGGTGTTTAAGACATGGGCCCAAATAAGCATTCTTCGCGCGCGCGATCTTCAGTAAAAATTCGAGGTTAATTTGAATGTTGAAGAGAAATATATTAAAGTAGGGGAAGGATGGCCTATAAGTATGATGGTTTGTTAGATCTGGCACAAGAGAGAGGCAAGTTTATGCCGACCGTGGAATAAGCTGATGAATTTCTTGTTCAAGAAGTTGATAGAGTGGCAATTAGCGGAGTTGGAAACATGCGCGTGTGGCGCGATCGCCCAGTAGCGGATGTGATCGGTGGGTTAAAAGAGACGAAAGGCGTCTCTATTGAGGGGGGGAAGGTAGGGCCGTGCAGAGAGGGTGAACTTCCAGGGAGGAGGGAGTTTGTGTAGGGCGTTATATATGACAAGAGAAAATGCGGGGATTGAGCAGGTCGTGGTAAGAGCGGGACCAATAGTGCGACATGTTCATCGCCATGTGTTTAAGGAGGCGGGAAGGATGACTTTAAGGTCTGTAGACAGAAATTGGTAGCACTGTAATAACTTATAAGAGAAGCGCGATAAGGTTTTTGTTAGGGTATTTAATATTAGCAACACCTCTACGGTGTTCACATTCAGTGCTTGTTATTCGGAAGTTGGATCAGACGGGTTGGGGTTGAAGAAGAGATGAAACATGGAATCCCTTCAGTACTTGTGGCCTATTGAGAAGCACGTGCAACGGCGCCAAATTAAGAGGATTGTTGGGCCTTATGGGCTCGGGCATTTATCTCATGAAGAGATTAGAGTGTAGATTGGTTTATGTTTGGAACGAGTGTCGATCTGGAGAAAGGGTGTACCAGAGAGAGAGGTTGAGGGTATGTGTGTGAGTTTTCTGAGAATGAGATAGGGAAGGACGTGAGCTCATAATAACGGGTTATTGTTTTGAGCTGTGCGGATTTGTCAGTGATCATTTCTTATATAGAACTTATCAGTGTCCAGAACCTGTAAATATATTTCATTGTCACATAATGCAAGGCCATTATGGTGTTAGTGTGGCTTAAATTGCCTGTTTGACTGTTATGTTAAGCGAAACGAAGTGGGAAGAACATTTTCCCATGGCCATGGTGCTAGGGAGGAGGACAAAGGATGCGACATGAGTACCTCGGTTTAGGTAGCGTGAAAGTTCCTTGGAATCCGTATGTTGGGGTAATGGTCAGAATCCGCCCTTCTAGGGAATCCTATTACAAGCGCAATAAATGAGTGTGTATATGCCATATAGGGAAAGGTTTATGGCTAATGATTGATTGTTGTGTTATGAAAGGGAAAGTGAGCCTGAGTGTTAAGCAAAGATGAGCTTTGAAGGGTTCAAGTGCTGAGCTCTCCCTTCGACAATAGATAAAGTCATTATGAAGTAACAACCTGTGTGTGTGTGTGTGTGTGTGGTGTGTGTGTGGTGTGTGTGTGTGGTGAGAGTGAGAGGTGGGTGGGGAAAGGGGGGAAAGGTGGGGGCTCAGAGGCATGAGGAGAGGGGGATGGTCGTGGAGAGAGGGGGGACCTGAGGTCCAAGAAGCCGCGCCAGAAGAGAAGGGGAGTGGATGTCGGCCGTGGCAAGCTGCGAGCGTGGGAGGCAGATGTCAGGGGTCAGAGCGGAGCCAGGAGAAGGCTGTGAAGGCGACTG